GGGACAACCCCAATACTAGAAATGGCGCGCGCTTACGGTCTCCGTCCCCGATTATGGCTCCTGGTTAGGATGGGATTTTCCCGCTGAAAAGCCCAGACGCTTATAAGGGCAAAAGGTGTTTCTAAACGTAATTTCTTCTGTTTTAACCGCTGTAAAAGCGTAAGGACGTCTTTATTAGGTTATCCTTGTGTTATGTCGGCGATAGAGAGCCTACTAGCCTGAGTTCGGAGAAGAAAAGGTGATAAATTCACTGAAATTCTGTTGCCTCAGTATTGGATAATTAATTAACGCTGGATATTAGATCTAAAGCGGTGACTATTGACGACTATTCGTCACTATTCGCCACTTTTCGCTACTGTTCGCCACTATTCGCACTATTCGAGACTATTCGTACTATTCGGGACTATTCGCGACTATTCGCTATTCGCTATTCGGGTTTTCCAGACACCCTCCGGCCAGTCGCTTTGCTGGTTCTTGCGGCTAGCTAATGGCCGCGGCCGTATGCAGTCGCGGATCCATACTGGTTTCCACCGTGTTACGGAAATCGATCAGATTTTTCAGAGTGACAAAGAAACCCAGGAATTAAAATCCAAAACAACTCACGCTGAAGCACCCTCCCAGACCTTGCATGCACCTTTGGCGCTCATTGTTTTAGAAATCAATAACTGTTTATCGTAAATCGGCGCCGCTGATTTCCGTTTCGTAAACGGTCGATGCCATTTTTAACGGTCGATGCCATCATTGGACATTGGTAACCAAGCCTTTCAGACAGGACGATGCCATATCTGCTTTAGTATAGGCCTGGACAAGGTAGAAACTGATTTTAATTTGTTGATTGAGTGAAACGCACCCGTCAAATGCTTGATTGTTCATATTCACACTGATTTGCTTGCAGATAGCTTTTATTTGATGGGTGGAGCAACTCTGTCAGTCACGTTTTATAATTAAATTTTGCGGGGATTTGGTAGATCAATCAGGTAGTGTAGCGGTAGAGGAGGGATATTAATAGACAGAAGTTTCGGGTTCGATACTGGTTGGGTATTTACAAATTTTCTTTTTTTTTTAATTTCGTAGAGAAAAATTCGTTGATAGTTAAAAAACTTTCTAAGTGTCGCGAAATTGGCATCGACCGTTTACGAAACGGAAAACTGCATCGGCGCCTGGTATCCCAGCCTCAGGCCAGCCTCTATTACGTATGCACAAGCACGGAGCACAAATATTAAAAATACGAAGAGCGCGCGGTAGATGGGCTCTTATCTCATATGTCCTCACGGTCTGCGCGCTCGCACTCGCGCTCTGCCCCGCGCGCTAAATTAACTCCCAGTCTTCTTCGCGCAGAATTCTCTCGTTGTTCGCTGCTTCTTCCTTTACCTTTATTCTCATCACAGCATAACAATAATTCCTCAGCTATTGATTCAACAGATCAAACACCGGTTGCGAGGCATAGGGGCAGTCTCTCTCCTAATTATACTAACATACTCTCTGGCAAGAACCTAATTTTTGAG